TAGGATGTGACCATTTTTACAGTGTCAAAAGGGTAGGGAACCTACATGCAATACAGTTTAGTGTGAGGGATCAGCAATCACAGCAGTATTACTATCTGCCCAATTTTTTATATCGGTGCATCCCTCCTTGGAGTGGCCTTAACCGATGACCTGCTGGTCAGAAACTTGAGGATCTGGTTGGTGAATGCACCGTACGTACCGTCTAAGGTTTGTAAACAAAGAAAACTGACTGTTTTGTTTAATTTCTAAAAATCAAAACCATTGAAATGACAACAGGACCAGTCCCAAGCTCCTACGAGTGTCTAATAACGTTTTAATAAAGAATAATGCCTTATGTTTTACTCCAGTCCTATTCAGACTTGAAAAAAATAACTAAGTCAAATTCCATACATTTCCAGGCCTGAGAAGGCAGCCTGAGCTGCTCCTTCAAAGAGCCAGAGCTGAGCCGGTCCCAGCTCCGTCTGCCACCACTCACCAATTAGTTGCTGGCTTCAGGAACTTTCATTGAAGTGGCAACAGAGTGAAATGACAGGGCACTGAGTTCAGTAGGGCTCAAAATATTAGAGCTAAGCTGCTCTGATTTATCATCTTAGACTTTCCCAGCCCTTCCTGTCATGGAACGTGTTGGATTTAAGAATGTTGACAGCCCTGGTCCACGTTCTCCAGGGAACACCGAGAGACTGAAGATGTCTTCGGTTAGTTAATCCTGACTGCAGTTATGGTGCTAATCACTAATATATGATGCTAAAAATAGTTAAAATTTCAAATCACTTTGTTTTTGTTTCAGTTTGAAAAACTGTTTACAGCACTGTCTCTCTCACACACTGACACAAAGCCTCTCTTCTAGATGAAAATAACTAATTAAATTCTCTAGAAAGAAAGAAAGAAAATATGTTATTTTAGTTGATTTATTTTTTAGTTTAACAGTTAGAAGTAGTTAGCCAAAAGCTTTTAAAACTTAATGCTACATTTTCTATCAAAAACTGTTCACAAATGCTTGATCGGTGCAACTCTGGTGATGTTTATCTGTGTGAGGACACTCATTCCAAACGTGCTGAACTATCACTTACTGCACAGAGTTCTCTGCCATGTTGTGGCAGTCTGAATCCCTCGATGAGAGGTGGTCCCCTGTGCTGGGCTGTGGCTCCAAGCAAGGGCCGTTGGGCCTGCTGGCATTGAGGTGAGGTCTGGGCGGAGGCGTTGGAGGTTGTAGATCCGACTCCAGGTCTTCTCTGAACAGGCCAATCTGTGAGTTCTGCAGCAGAGATCAAGAAACACATGCATGGGCAAATAGAAGCATGGAGGAAACAGGCAGGAAGCCAGGCAAGACCTTCTAAACTTGGAACCCACTCAAATTTTATGATGGTTCAAGTCTATCTACATGTTCAGTTATTGGTTTGTCTTTTGGTTGGAGCATTTTTTGAAAACATCGTATTTTCTGAAGTAATAAGAAGATTATTGGTTACAAAAATGCCATGGACATTGAGGACATAGATCCTTTTACATGTTATATTGTTATGTCATATTGCAGAGAGGTAGGACTGCATGTTACCTTGGGAGGATTTGCTGGATCACCTCATCCACAAAGCGAGTACAACTACCTTGACTTTACACTGAAGCACAGTCCACTTTCGGTACAGTTTGTCTCAACAGTCTGTTCTAAGGCTGCCTATTAGTATGAACTGTGTTTCTCTCTTTTCTGCTTGCCAGGGATTCAAATAAACAATATAAATTCAAAGGGGATTTATAAGCTAATGCTAACCTAAACTTAGCTTCAACTGAAAAACAACAGTTGGAAGGCTAGTCTGTTAACATCAAACAAAAGCTACTAGTATTACCAAGGTAACCGCTGCTCATATTAGAGCAGAAACTAAAAACATTAAAAACAAATTACAAAGTAACATCATCTAGAAGCCAAACACAGCAACTCATTTACATATCAAAGCAATAATTAACAGTCACTAACAAATCACTAAAACACCCTTTATCATAGACACAGACTTTTATCAATGCAAAAGAATAGCATTGATAAATGCTGCCCGACAAGGTGCCTGATGTAAAACATTAAGTTCAGCATTAAACAAAATTGAAAAAAACCAGTAATACTAGGGAATTTATAGCAATTCATATAATGCTCACTGGACATTTTTTATGACTATAAAACAAGTATATTTCTCATGCGTTTCTGGTTCGCTCCTGATCAAACCTGTTCTGCAGAGCTATAGGTCAGAATGAGCTTGGCTCCCTCGATGATGGACATGTAGGAGAAGCGCAGTTGGTCAGGGGTCTGGATCAGGCCCATGCGATATTCCCTCATATCCAGCAGCACCTTCTGTATGTCCACAGATGACGAGCTCCTACTCCTGTCCATCTACAAAACAGATTTATCTGTTTATGGAATACATTTGGAAAGGGTTATGCAGCTAAGCCAGTGTTTTCACTCCACACTGAGGTGCACCAGACTGCTTAACAGCATGTTACCATGAGGTCACCGCCTTGGTGGCTCACAGTGTATACCTGTGAGTCAGTTGTGCAATTATTTTTAATTTATTACAGCATCTTGTCTTTCGTGTGTGCTTCCATTTGTTAGTCAATGTGCTGTTCATTGTTTTTACTACTGAGGGACAAATAGAGGATTGTTCTATGCTAAAATAAATTGTGTTTCAGAACAAGCGTAGATCTGGAACATAGATATGCTCAACCAAGAGTCGCGGTCAAGAGTCGCTTGTATTATTATTTTGTGAGTCAGAAGCTAGAAAGTTTGGGAATCACTTAAATGTTTTTTTTAAAGCTTCAATCTACTGATTTCAAATTTAAAAGTTCCTATCATTAGTGGCCATTAGGTAAACATTATGGGATCAAAGGAGATGTCACACTGTGTGTGTGAGAAAGAGCAGCTGTCGTAAAACAGGCTTTTTCAATTGTAACGCAAGATAAAATACTTATTGAGTAGATATTTTAAGCTTCACTGTTGTGTTGTTGTTTAAGCAGCTTCTACTTGTGATAAGCACCATTAGCAATGTTAACATGGCTAAAGTGACTGTTTTTAGATGTATCTGTAACAGAATGTAAACTCATACTATAATTTTGAATTTTCCAAAACACTGCCTACATTTCCCAAATCATGGTGTTTCCATCCTAACCAGATTAAATGCTTAAAAGGAAACTATATATATATTTCTTTATCCTACCAAATGTTACTGGAGATTTATGTATTGTAAACACCTCACAGATATTCAAATAGTCATCTTTGAATCTTTTCTCAGCAGCAGCATCCACACAGCAGAGTGTTGTCTTAACAGTGACCAGGCAGTGCTTTGCATGACATGTTCAGGGATTGAGAAAAGATCCGATTACTGAGTTTCCAACTCGTCTCTCACCAGTTAAAATTTGGTCGCCCGTGCTCACCGACCAATTTCTTGATACGTCTCTAAATTGGACATGTTTTTAGGGGAGCTTGATAAAGTTCCCTTCTGTAGCTTCTGTGTAACAAACCAAATATATTTCAGCTATTAACCTTGGAGCTGGTAGGTTAATAGGCTCTGATTTATACATCACTTGTAAAAAATAAGAGGGAAGATATATTCTGCTGTCATTTTCTTACAGGTTTTAGAACAGAAGAAAACTTTCTTGAACCCTTTCTAAAGATACTAAGCTATTGAAAAAAGAACTAAAAACAATTCAACATAAGTTTATTTTTCAGACAAAAAAAATGCACAAAGCTCATGGTGCTGAATGAATCTGAAAACAGAAGAATTCCTGAAAGTGGGAAGGAGTTTCCAGGTAATCTCTGACATCACTGTTTTCTGCCTGAAGTAACAATCCAAACATACCGTGAATAAAGTTCAGAACCAACATGCTACAACTTCTCTCTCTAGCTTCCAGCCCTCTCAAATATTACCTTAAGATGACTGACTCATCGTACTCAGATGCCAAACTAAACGGTTTAACCCTTTGCTCTCAGTATAATCAGCGTTAAGCAACTACTTCCCATAACAATAACACTCTCTCACCAAGACCAGGCAAGTGTCCACCAAGGCAAACGTTCCCGAGCGTCCAATCCCAGCGCTGCAGTGCACCACTGAGGGCCCATATTCAGGCCCCAGGGAACCAGACTCCCGCACCTTGAAGAGGAAGTTGAGGAAAGAGGCGGGAGATTCTGGCACCCCGAAATCAGGCCACGTGGTGTAGTGAAAGTGGTAGATCTCTCTGGATTCCCCCGTCTGGGAAGAAACGTATGACATCAGCCATGAACAATGTGCAGCACATACAAGTTCTGGCACTTCTGGCTCAAACCAGAAATGCCAGACAAAAATAAAAACAAGGACCCAGGTAGACTGATTTAAAACCACCTGGTATGAAGTTAAACAGAGGAATTTAGGGGCAATACAATGTTAGCAACACATTAGCCCAGGGGTCTTCAACCTTTACAATCCGTTCCAAACAGCCATTTCTACCCTCTGTCGAGCTGAATGAAAATATCAACTATAGGAAATTTTAAAGAAGAAAAACATAACATTGTTGCTCAAAAGAGAGTGGACGCATTTTCTTCTGTGGAAAATAAAGCAAAGAAAGTGGACAGTTTCCAACCGTTTCTTGTTGGTATTCATAGTTACCAATAAGAAAATAATATTACTGGTACTTTAAGGGTCATTCTGTTGTGGGAATTCAATGCAATTCCAACATGAAAAAACCATTAGTCTGCTGAAACCTGCATAATAACTACATTTAAAATATCAGATTGTTCTTTATCATTTTTGTCAAAGTTATTAAGAACCAATGTGGGAAACCCAAAGAGCCACTTGTGGCCCCTGGAGCTGCAGGTTGCATCTAAACCATTTAAGCATGCTGCAGGATCTTCCTCTTTTGAACTTTGACCTTGTTTTTGTAGGGCCCTACTAGGATTTATGTGACGTGGAAAATGCAGACAGAATTTGACAAACTAAGTGGAATCCACAACAAAACACGGAATTTCACAAAAATATTTCTTATCAGCAAGCAGGAAAAGGTATTTTGTGATTTCTGAAGTATTTTGGCTGCTCCAGCTCCCTGTACCGGTCTATACCTCGTCAGTCAATAAGTGTTTACACACCTACTGGAAATTGCACATTCATTTACTCATTAAAATAGTATTTATATTCTGTCTTTTTTAATGTTCATTATGTAAATAAAAAAAAGCAACAAAAAAAAGTAATCCTATTGAGTTGCACATCCATTGGATCACGAGTACAATATTTCTATTTTCTAATTATTGTTGTTAGTCTTGTATTCATATATTTTTGAACATTTGGAACTATTTTAGTGACTCATTCTGATGCTGATGTTGCACCTGAATTTCAGGCTGTTTCTATTCTATTCTAAGATTGGCTAGACTCAGCTCGGCTCCATATATATGAGAAAGAGAGAGAGAAAGAATAAATAAAAATCGGTTGCCATTGAGAAAAGGCTCACTGAGACACCAGAGTCCTCCAGAAAACTAAAAAAACTCAAAGCAGAGCACAAATTTCAGATTATTGCTTCCAATGTTTCGTCTCATGCTCACCTTTGTGTTCTCTAGTTCTAGCACCCTGATTGTATAATGGGATTGGTCCTCTTCTGACAACAGTCGAACAACAAAACCCGTGTCAGTGAAGGACATCTGCAGCTCCTCTGAAGTGGGCCAGTACTGAGCACACTTTTCCTGCGGGGACAGAGAGGTCATCACTCAGGCTCGAACAGGAAGCAGCTTGCAGCGTTTTCATAGACAGATGAGTATGTGTGACCTAAGCAGCATTCAAGACAGACTCACAGTCTGTCTTGAATGCACCTAAAGTTAGGGCCTAAAGTTAGTCATTCTCCAAACTCCAAACAGCAGTGGTGCAAAAAGTGGGTGCCCCATTAGAAGGGGCGCCACATGATGGCAGACAGCAATTATTTCTAGTCCGCATTTTCTGTATTTAACAGCTGTTTGTGCTTATAATGTGCCAGGATACACGTCAGAAAGTACTTAGCTGCACAAACACTGTAAGTACAAGCTCTGAGCAGTCCTGGTAAAATAAATTTAAAAAAAAAAGAACACAAAACATAAGAGCTTAAAGTCTTAAAATATATGACATATTGCATTGTTTCAGAAGGGCTAAGCTGTAATACAGAAGCACCATGTGAAGAAACCGAGAGCAGCCTAGCTTCGTAGAAAGAGACTCAGATTGTAAGTAGCTGCAGATCAAATGCAGCGATTACCTGATGCGTAGGATGTGCACACATCTCTAGCTTTCTGTTCTTCAGCTTTTATCTGGGTGTTACCCTGGAGCTAACCCATAGCCATGACATTAGGGAAGCAGTTGTGGCTGTATCCATCATTTTCAGAAGAGCTAACAAAGCCATTTCCAATGTTTTTGTAAGTTAGTCACTTTACAAGAAAAAAAAAGAAAAAGAAAAACGGTTGCCCATTTTTACAGGAATGGACCCTTTAGCAAGTTCCTCCCTGTGAAGGTCAGTCATCCATTGCTCAAAGAAAAAACACTCTTCAGACTTCACTATGTTAAAGTTTATGACAGAGTGGCTGCTAAGAACCAGTATGGCTTGTTTGAATGGGTTGGGAGGGGAAAGGTCTGGAGAACTGAATTTGAACAACACACAAAGGTTTGGGCTCGTTTTACAGCTGCAGGACCATGGGCCTGCAGCAGCTCCAACCATGACCTCCTCCATTTCTCTTGAGTCAAACGTGAGGCCGTCTGTCTGCCAGCTGAGGTGTGGCTGAATGTTGGTCGTGAGCAGAAAGGTACAACTGACAAAAGGGTCGGGATGTGGACGAGACCTAGACAATGTCCAAACCTCAACCTGATTCAGAGGCTCTAGTGGACTCTCAGAGAGCTGTGTTTAAAAAAAAAAAACTGAAAGGCATAATAAACTAAAACACAAAAGAAGAATAAACCAGCATTTCTGCATAGTGGAAAAGTAATAAGACCAAAGAGTTGATGATAACATCATATTCTTGCTGCTGTAGGCAGATCAACAACCTGAATTCTAGAAAAGACAGGAGGTCATAAAAGGAAAAAAAAAAAACTCTTAAATCACATGAGCTGATATTTTATTCACAACAGAACACTGATCCTAGCATAACGGATGTTGAACTTCAACCAAATTAAGCTCAGGTTTGAACTTGCTACATGTTTCAGAACAGTTTGGATGGGGAAATGTTTGCCACAGTGAAGCATCTTCTCTTCTTTTCAACAGTTTGAAGACGTCTGGGCATTGAGGTCATGAGTTTCTGGAGTCTTGGAATTTGGTTCCATTCTTGACTGATGCAGGTTTCCAGCAGCTAAGAGTTTATGGTCTTCTTTGACATATTTTTTTGTTTAATGATGAACCAAATGTTCTCCTTAGGTGAAGGATCTGGACTGCAGGACCAATTCAGCAATACTCTTTTCCGACGAAGCCAATGCTGTTGTTATGGCTCCAGTATGTGGTTTGGCATTGTCCTGCTGAAATACACGAGGTCTTCCCAGAAATAAACGTTTTCTGGATGAGGTTGCTCTAAAACCTCTAGATACCTTCCAGGGTTCATAGTTCCTTCCAAAACATGCAAGCTGCTCATGGTTTCCAAAGTCGCCAACAAGAATGTCAAATCTGGATTCATCGGAACATGGAGCACTGTCACTGTGAAACAGTCCTTTTTAAATTCATTGTGGCCCACAGGATCCCACGGTAGATCTAGATCCTGTTCACATATTTCATGACAGACGATTAGGTGGAATCTGCAGATTGTACATTAGATTATGTTTACCGACAGTGGTTTCTGGAAGTATTCCTGGGTCCATTTAGAAATGTCAATGACAAAATCATGCTGACGAGTGACGCAGTTTTGTCTGAGGGCCCAAAGTCTATGGGCGTCTAATAAAGGTCTCTTACAGACAGGTTTCTCCAGTTTCTCTGAATCTTCTGATAATCGTATGCACTTTAGATAATGAGATTGTTGTTCGTAAAATGTTCCACAATATTTTATGCATTCTGTCCCAAATGAGACAGCATGCCCATCGTTACATCTGAAACTCCACACACACTCCAAACTCTCTCTTATAGCTAATCATGCTGCAGATCTGAAGTAAGTTAACTTAATTTCAACCAGGTGAACGCTTTCACACATTTCTGCTTTTCCAGACATTTGCTCTGCTCCCCATGTTCTGTTAATAAAATGTTGGCTTGTGTGATTTAAAAGTCTTCATTTTATTCAATTCTAAACAACATCCTGACTCTTAAAATTCAGGTTGTAGAAACTACTGAATCATAATCACGTTTTTCATGCAGTTTGGTTTGGTTACTGTAGAATAAACAGCAACATACAATTGTACTGTTGTATTTCATGCGTTGTTGTTCTTTCGGGTTAATATTTCTTAATATTTAAAATTCTAACAATAGGTCAGATATTTTTTCAAATTTTATGTCCTGAAACATAAAACCTCAGAACCAAAAGCTGGAGCACAGTTCCATACAGAAAACATAGAAATGCTTCTCTCTCCCACATGTACAGCTTACAAAGTTTTTCCTTTCCTCAGTTAAACAGCAGAGAATGCTACATATGTGGCTAAGCCCAGAATTACTCATATCTGTAGCAGATTAAATATATAGTTGTCATTTCATTTGACTAACATCGTCTTTCTGACTGGAGGTAATGACGCATAGAAGTGACCTGACTTTTTGAAACATCCCAAACATGCAAAAATGCAGTTAAAATGATAACTTTATTGTTTCAAACTCGATCCTTCTTTTACACCGTTGTATTAAAATTAAATAAATCCTCATCTCTATATATTAAATCTCAGGCAGAGGTATAAATAATTTGGTATGTATTAAGTAATAAAGACAGACATTTCCAAACACAGTCCTTGTATATAAAAACTTGTGGTCATCATGTGCTGAGGTGTTACTCACAGATCCTTTCTCTATCACTCTGTTGAGCATTATAACGGCTTTAGAACATTGCTCCCAGACCATCAACCAGAAATGGCCACACGTATTCCTCAAAGGGCCCTGTCAAAGTAAAAAAAATAAAAAATGTTCATGAAAGTGTGACATACCGAGTAGAACAGTGTACAATACAGTAGCATTCGCTCAATGGCTTCCATACCTGAGTTAGAATGTAAGCTCTCTCGGCTTCTTTCACAGCGACTAAACTCGCGTTAATGTAGTCATTGTCAGCGTTTTCAAGCTTTACCCGACTGTGATCATCTGAGGAGGAAAAAAAAAAAAAAAAAAACATCAGATGGCGAAGCAATTACAACAATGCAAATTCTCAGCCACCATATTGGAAAGAAAAACAAACAAATCTCTCGTGCAAAGACTCACATGGGCTGACGTCTCTGTAGCGATTCAAATTCCTGTTCATTGGAAGCTTAGCTACTTTGTACGGATATTCAATGGCTTGGTTGCGGATGTCCTGGTGCAAACGAGAAGAAAGGTTAAAGGTTAGCTTTCAGGTTGCAAACACAACATTTATGTAAAGACCACACAAAGTGATGGAAGGTCTTCATTACAGTCTTTCTGCTCTTCTTGATTCACTTAAAGTGTTCCACTTTGCTTGACTCGTTAGTTAGTGAAAAGATTTTCTACTAGCTGGGTTCCTACACACAAAACTCCATACATTTACATTCTCAACTTCTAGAGTTCTCAGTCCTGTTTAAGTCACCTTGACTACAATATTTAACTGAGAAGCAGAAACTAATGGTAGCAAATATTAAGGTTTGTTTTAAAATTGAATAAAACAATGTACTGCCTGATACCAGTAGTGGAAATTTGATTTGATTATTTTGTGCTACTACCAAAATATATTTGCAATGTTGAATTTTGTACACCAATATACAGCTAGTTAAAATAATGTAATATTTTTTTATTCTGTGATTGTAGCACTCTACGCGGCTAAAGAGAATTTCGTTTCTGACAGTTTCACAGCCGTTTGGGTTCCAGCCATGCGTTTTTTGGACTCCTTGTAGACGTTGTGCAGTTTGAGGGATTTTTGTTCTACTCTTTTACTTTCGGACTGTTGTGTTACTGTGGCAACAAGGTTTGTAAATATAAACAAGGTTTGTTTATACAAATGGGAGCGGCCGATTAGCAATTCAAGAGCCTAAATAATACTTGAACTATGGCCCCAAATCCCAGAGGAGTTGAAAAGAGCAGAGCGTGCCAACAAACGATGGTGCCATTCAGGACATTTCACTGTGGAATATCATCTCTGTCACCTGGAAATTGAGCCGTGAACATGTTGTGACAGTCATGCAAAAATCACCAGTCAGAGGACTCCTCAAGGCCTCTGCAATACTGACTGCTATTGGAATTACTGTCCACAGTGACTCTTGGAGGATACCTGGATGATATTATGGCAAATTTACATTTCCTTTTAGCATCAATTTTTCTTCTTCTTCTATTTAATTAACTGAATAAATGCCATAGATGCCATCAAATCAACAACCCAGATTTGGATTAATTTGATATAGTATTATGATTTTTTTTAAAAGTTAACATAATTTATTGTATTATTGTATTTGTATTCCCTTTGGAATTAATAAAGTATTTTTGAGTTACTTTTTTTTTTTTAAATCAAACTCGTTTAATAAAAAAAAAACAAGATTTTTTTTCCGTCTATGCATTTTCTGGTTCTATAGAGAAAATTGTTTATTTCTTTGCGTCTCCTCTAAACAGCTGAAGTCAAATAGCAAACATTTTCCCATTGCCTCAGTAAAATAATAAAAAAAAATATATATATAAACCGCGCAGTCAGTTTCTACGTTAAACAGGAACTAAAGTATTAGAAACTTAACCTGAATATGCCAGATTGGCTAACACTGCTGGTGATAAAACACATGCGTCTTTCTCTGGAAGTCTTTGGTGAGTTCTCAGAAACTGCGGCTGACGTCCGCAAGCGTCACCCAAGCAGAGAGCTCCCCGATGCACGTTTCCCAGCTACGGAAGTCAGCCCCCTGCTAGCGCAGCTCGCTACTTTCTCACAATTAAGTGTTCGCTGGCTTCCTGCGGCGCCCGTCCTGCCTGCGCTACGCAGCTCGTTAGAAGCTCGTTAGTTAACACAAAAACACACGCCACGGAACAAGCAGGGAAAGTAGTGAAACACAAGGAGATGAGTCTGAGAAGTGAACTGGCTAAGTTGGTTAGCAACCGATCGTCATAGAAACACGAGAGGCCCTCGGTGTCCCGACTTACATTGTAAAGGTTCTGCCATTTCCCGGACGAATCAATATCCTCGAATTCTTGCTCCATTGTGTCGCGGTTGGTGAAGTGAGAAGCCAGCCGGATGACTTTGGGGTGTTTTTGCCACCGTTTTCCAACTTACTCCTCTCCGTTAGCCATCTGAAGAGCACTGTGTGTAACCTGATGAATCCCTGCGGGGAGTCAATCTGCCTCTCCTTCACTCTGACTCTCGCGGGTTGCCAGGTTGCGTAACGGGAGCTGGTCATATTTTGCCCGTTTTGTACTTTTGTAGTTCTGGTCGTTATGTGTCGACTTGCGTCATTTCGTGCACGCCTTGAATATGTTTCCTTTCGTTTCTACATTGACATCTAATGATACCCAAAGATTCGCTAATTGATACCCCCGTCTCGTCCCTACACGTTGTTATCCAACTTAAAGCACCGTTTATTTTTCTTGCTTGTCATTAATTTTAGATTAATTATAAAGGGAAATACTGAAATACTCAATTTTCTTGTCGTTTGTGACTTAATTCAACTGCATATTATTTTTTGTAAATATTCTAAAATATTTACTTTGGAACGTTTATTTGGACAAGTTGACTCTCGAAGGATGGAAATTAAGGACTCATAAAACTCCATTAGCTGCATACAGAACATAAAATGATATTGCATCAAATTTAATCCAACCAAAAATGCGCTTTCTTTAACCTTTCCCTTGCAGAGGTGCGACATGTTATTTTTTATTTAGTGCTCATAGTTTGCATTAAAATTATGACCCCAGTTATTATGAAAGCAGTAAGGTCCTCAAACTTATTTTTAGATGTATGCCCCGATTTTTCATATTTTGTAGAATTGCCTGACCAGAACGGAATTAGTATTAACATCAGTGGAAATATTTTTTAAGGTACCAATTTCACAAATCAGTCCGGTTTGACAAGTTTATTTAATATGCTATACATTTTTTTCTCAATTTGACGTGGTCTGACTATCAGGAAAGTAATTATACAGAAAGCCTTATAGGCATTTTTGTTCAGATAAAAAAGTTGCCAATCACTGTTTTACTGTGAGATATTGTTAGGATATAAAACTGAGCATTAATCATAAACTTAATCTAACCTATTATACATGGTTGAAAAAGTAATAACTGGCAAATTCAGAAATAAGAGTACAGAATGAACCAGGCAAAAAAAGAAATAATAATAATAATAATAATAATAATAATAATAATAATAAATAAATAAATAAATAAATAAATGTATGATTATCTCATGAATCCTAATGGCCACTATTTGAAATTGTGTTTTTTTGAATATTGATTTAATTTTCAAAATTAACCATACTGTGGCACATTCGAACGAACATGGCAACCTTCTAAATTACGCTTTGTGTTCTTGCTGCTACTATTTTACCTGAAAACTAACACTCGCCGTAACTCTATGCATTACTTAAGACTGAAAAAAACATTTTCAGATTTTAATAATCTATTTTTGTTTACATTTACCATTTACACGCAATGTGGCACATTAATCCTGATGTGTGGAGTACCTACATCAAATAAAAACAAAAAACATTGTTCAAAAACTGTTGTTTTTTATGTTTGTCGGAAGGCGCCCCCTTGTGGTCAACACAGTTCAACAACACATTCGCGGGCGCCAAACTCCAGCAACCGGAGTGGGAGACACATGACAGGCCTACCAGCTAAGCCCTGCGATTAGAGGAGCTGGAATCATGTTCGTCGCTCGCAGCATCGCCGCTGACCATAAAGATCTCATCCACGATGTCTCGTACGATTTTCACGGGCGCAGAATGGCGACTTGTTCCAGCGACCAAAGCGTCAAGGTGAGCTAGACTAGGCGCTAATGCTGAAGCTCAGCCTAGCATGTTAGCATTCCCCACGTTAGACCCTGTTAGCTCTGTAAACATTATTGACTCATTTAAGTTGAGTTGTTTGAGAAAATGTAAGCCTCCTTTAGAACAAGGCAGCTTTACATTACAAATAGGGCTAAATAAGCTCGTTTTACATATAGCTAGTCCGACTGAGTCAACTAGATAGAAAGAATTTTGTTTAGTTTAAAATGATCTAAACAAAAGGTGTAAATGTGCACTGATAATGTCACGGCACTAATATCTTTGAGTGAATTTCTGCCTCTCAGGTTTGGGATAAAAGTGAGAATGGAGAGTGGCAGTGCACAGCCAGCTGGAAGGTAAGCACCTTTGCTTTCTGTCATTGTAAAACTTGCTGCCGTATAAATCCCTGTTAGGCTGGTATACATGAAGGGCTGTCACTAATGACTACCTTCTTATTAAGCTGTCATCAAATCAATAAATTGATTAAATGTTAGTTCTGAAAACAGGGGTCGTGAGGCAAAACCTGTTGGAGTCCTTGAGATGATTTTCAGAGATCAAACTAATGAAAAAAATACGATATATTGAAAGCAGATGTGTGCAGTTGATTTTACAACAGAATTACAAATAGATAAAAAACAGTCTGGAATTGAGCCTTCTTTTGTTGTTGCACTACTGTTTTATTGATTTTCTTGTAAGTCATGGAGTTAACTGATAGACTATTTGAGATCAGTTTCTGATGTGGATCGGATGCTAAAAAGTTTGGGAAGCTCTACAGTGGAGCCCCGGTATTCTCTGAGGTTAGGAACCCCAGAGAATAGTCTGCGAATAGTTGAATTCTGCAAATAACTGACCGACTTTTTTATCTGAAAAGTCGTTTAATATGGCAAAACAGTTGCTTAGTTGGCAACAGTGTGGTGACTGTTGTTAACTGCAAACATACAGATGTGACATGGTTGACGTGTCTGTCAGTCAAATCTGTCTAAAAGCGAAGTAATAGAGAACAGTGGTTGGTTCTTAGACTTTTGCCAGCGTAGATGAGATCGGCTTCACATGTACGTATCGGCCGATCTCCCAAAATTAAGAAAATCTTTGCGGATTTACCGGTTCAACCCTACTATATATGTAATGTTTTATTCCTTTATTTATTTTCAAAGGTAGTGGGTGCAGCTTATATTCAGGTGTGCTCAATACCGTTTAAATTGAAGTAAATTAAAATTAAAATGTACCATAAAAATGATGTTTACTAAAAACATAATTCTTGGCATATATATCGGCATTAACGTCAGTGTCGATGTTAGCCATTTTATAGCATAGAAATATCAGTTTCTATAGTACAACTTGGCTGATATTATCAACTAATGTTTATTTCCTTCTTGCCAAGCAATGTCACCTGTGGAGTCATTTGTTCAAGGTATTGAGAGGGAGATATATATATATATATATATATATATATATATATATATATATATATATTAATGTTGTCTTTAGCCCAGATGTTAACATCAGTGCATCGCTAATCATGTTATTGATTTGTCCTGGGAGCCTTATGAACACTGTGACATATTTACCTTATTGCTGCAAATACTGTGAAACTGGCTTTAGTTTGAGAAACGTATCCCTTTGTCGGGTGCAGACCCACAGTGGATCGGTGTGGAGAGTGACCTGGGCTCACCCGGAGTTCGGCCAGGTCCTGGCCTCCTGCTCGTTTGACCGAACAGCCGCCGTCTGGGAGGAGATCGTCGGGGAGTCCAACGACAAGCAGCGAGGCCTGAGCCACTGGGTCAGCGCAGCCGCTAGCTGTTTGAAAACCAGCCCCGACTTGATTCTTGTCGTGTTGAGTTTTAACCCAGGCCGTCCACATCGCCTCTGTCCAGATCAAGAGAACCACGCTGGTGGACAGCAGAACGTCGGTGACGGACGTGAAGTTTGCGCCTAAACACATGGGTCTGATGCTGGCCACCTGCTCTGCAGACGGCGTGGTGAGGATCTACGAGGCTCCGGACGTGATGAACCTGAGCCAGTGGTCTCTGCAGCACGAGATCTCCTGCAAGCTCAGCTGCAGCTGCATATCGTGGAATCCCTCGAGGTACTGCACCCGTGTTCACCACACAGCAGGTTCCTACCAGGTCTGGCTGGGTCCCACGTCTGCTTTCCTTTAATGTCTGATTCAAATCCTTATTCTAATCTCCAGACTAAAAACACTCATTTTCGGAAACTCAGTTTGTATTCAGTAGTTAAAAGTAGTGAACTTTGACCATAGAGAAAACAGTGTTTTCAACAGAAACTGTTGGGAGTTCAACAGACGATGAAGGGATTAAAAGATCATCCCTGTTTATGCATCAGTACGGTCGTCTTGTACCTTTATTTGATTTTATTTCAACAACTCAAACTACGTGTTTTGTGCATTCCAAACATGGGATGTTTCTATTTTAATGCATATATAAAAACCTCCTGATCAGCTGTTGGAGCCACTTAGGCGAAGAATGTAGCAGCACCTTTCTTGTACTGCAACATGAAAGCATTAGAAATGTTACTAACACTGTTCATTTGTGTCGTTCTCCCTAATAATTTTCATGTTGAAGAAAGCGGTGTGTAGTTGGATTTTTTTTTCCATATATATTTTTCTTATTGCCGTTTTCATCAGGTTTCATTATCTTCCAAGCCTGCATCAGCAGTTAGCACTTCCTGTTATTTACCCTGAACACCGTGTTGGTGCTCAGCGTACAATATTCTCCACTTAAGGAAGATAAACTGTCTCCAAAAGTTTTGAACAGTAAAATCAGTTAAAATAAATAAATAAATAAATAAATAAAACACACCAAGTTATTTTTAAGTTGCCATGTAAATAATTTCTTAGAAAGCATTAAAAACTTTCCTAATCTTATCATTGGATTTTAGCAGATTTTAGCTGTTGTAGGATTTCTCTTTTGTCTTTTGGCAAAAGACCACGAGACATTTCTCCCTCTTGACTCAAAGGTTTGCTTTGCCTGTATTTACCCAGAATGCCCGGTCCTATAATAGGTTTCCTGCTTTTGAAGCAGTCTCCCTTTCAACTTGGCGTTGACATGTGCATTCAAAGCACACCAGAGTTCACGTCAACCAAACCCAGGTCTAGGTTTGTAGGCGGACCAGAAGTTTCTTTTTTGGTCCGCATCAGGAGTTTAATTCTGCATTCACACCTCCCCAAACCAACTACAGTTCAGTTAAAGAGGATGATCAGGGCTGGTGTGAATGCAGCCTAAATGATAGCTTCTCCTCGCAAACTATTTTCTCTGTGAATTGAAATATTATTGTTCTTAAAATGTCCTTTTTGTTGCACACTGTCTCCCTGCAGTTCTCGAGCCCACCCCCCTATGTTCGCCGTGGGCAGCGATGACAGCAACGTGACGTACGGTGGGAAGGTTCAGATCTA